GCAGTTCTGGGGCAGCACTCGGCTGGAGAACCCACTGGCAAAATTTTGGCGCGTAGTTTGCTTGGGTGTCGAGTTGAAATACCCGGACAGACGCGTACATTATACACACATACACACACTCACACCGGGGTCGGTGCAATATGCGTTTTTGCATTTGCATATATGCAAAAACGCATAACGAGCCGACAATGCAAAAACACTAACCAACCAAGGCTAGCCGGTGCAAACATGCGTTTTTGCTCTGGTTTTACGCAGGTTTCACTCAAAATCGAGTTCATTTTGCAGCGAACCGACTGTCCTTATCCTCTCCCAACATCTAGTTCTAGTTTTTCACTGAAAAGTGGAGATGTTGCTAAAGCGGTCGTTCGTCAGAAGTCCAAATATGCAAAAAGAACTGGATGTTGGGAAAGGACGAGAGCGGTCGTTAGCTGCAAAATGCCTCGTTTCTGAGTCTGTGATAAAGTTGGGCACTTCTTATAGCCACCCGCAGGGAATTTCTTTCCCGGGCAGAATTAAAACCGCGCTTGAAAGTAGAATATCCCAGCGAAATTTCTGCCTCGCACAATATCCGGTAAGCGAAATAGCCACTTCGCTACAGATATATTTGAAGTTCCCTATGTCGTGGTGCAAATGCAAATCGGTACTCATTTTAGGTCTGCGCTTTCCCATATGGGCGATAAAAATGCTGACAAAATTTCAGCCACTGTTTTCTGGCTAGTCGAGTTAGCGCAGTCTCAGGTGCAAACTTTGACGTGACCATACGCGCTGCACAAACGTGCATAATGGTTGAATTTGAAATCTTCAACTCACACAAGCACATAGAATATATCTGCAAAAGTTTCAGCTTTCTATCTTGCCTGGTTTTCAGAATCGTTTTACGCCAAAGAAAATTGCATATTTTTTTCGGGGATTTATACGCAAGACCTAGGCACTTACTGCTAAAGTTCTTAAAACGGGAGGATTACACGCGGGGTGAAAGTATGTCCCCAAAATTACAGCCTCCCAGCTTTCCTGGTTGCTGAGTTGAAGGTGGGTGACAAAGTTCACTCGCTTCCGAACACACACAGACGAACTCTCGACGACATGGGTTTTTGCTTACTGTAGCAGCTCTAAAGAGCAGCATAGCAAAAAAGCATGAAAAAATGGCCAACGCACGGGTGCCCGTGCGAAGATGCGTTTTTTGCAGAGTTCCCCGCAGGTTTTTGTCGCTACCGGCATCGGTTT